GTGATGTGATGAGCACTGGGTGTTATATGCAACTGACGAATTACTGATCTCTACATTTGAAACTAATAATGTGTTGACTGAGTTTAAATGAAAAAACAAAATAAATTTATTAAATAAAAAAGGAATGCTCTCATTTATTCTTCAAATTATATTGGGTATCACAATGCCTAGCAATAGCAGATTCTCAATAAATAATTGTTGAATTAAAAAACTAAAAATAAAAGATCCTTTTTTCACTTGAGACAACCAAGTGAAACACCCTGCTTACAGTTTAGCATTCCTTCCATTCTTTCATGATGAAAATGTAGCCAAAATAAAAAAATCTGTACCATCGCTGTTTTGTTCATTTCAGCTATCTGGACAACCTATTAAGATTAGTACAAGATGACTATTTGCAATTATAAAGAAAATTTAAATGAATTTATTGCCTAGAATTCCATTGCCTAGAATCCCACTGCCTAGAGTCCCACTGACTATATTTTTCAATACCTTATCTTTTAAGCTATTTTGAATATCATACTCAGGGCTCCTGGGTGGCTCTGATGCTTGAGCATCTGCCTTCACCTCAGGTCATGATCTCAGGGTCCTGGGATGGAGGGAGACCCACATCAGGGTCCCTGGTAGGCTCAGCTGCGGGTCTGCTTCTCCCTCTCCCTCTGCCTCCCCCGACTTGTGTGTTCTCTCTGTCTCTCTCTCAATGAATAAATTAAAGAATCTTTAAAAAAATGTCATACTTAACCCCTAAAAAGAGGCAAACAGCTTATTAATTTCACAAAGTGGCCTAAAATAATATAATAATAAAAGACAAATGTCTAGTAAGTTACTTTATATGAATTATCGCATTATATCTTCAAAAGAATCCTGTCAGGTAAGTAATAAACTCCTTTAAAAAATTTTGTAATAGCTTTATTGAGATATAATTAATATACCTTTATCCTTGTAAAGTGTACAAGCCAGTGGTTTTTAGTATACTGACAGACTTGTGAAATGTATTACCATAACCTAAGTTTAGAAAATTTTCATCCCCTGCAAAAGAAACCTAGAACCTATTAGCAGTCACACCCCATTCTTCCCGCCTTGTATCTTTTGACAACCACTAATCTACTTGGCTCTATTGATTTGCCTATTCTGGACATTTCATATAAAGGTAAGCTTTATATATATGATCTTTCATGAATATTTTCTTTCATTTAACATGTTTTTAAGATTCAACCATGTTGTAGCATGTGTCGGTACTTATTCCTTTTTATTGACAAAAAGATATTCCATTTAATGGATATACCACATTTTATTTATCCATTCAGCAACTGATGAACAGCTGAGTTGTTTCCATTTTTTGGCTATTATAAATAATCTGCTATGAACATCTGTGTGAACACTTTTGTGTAGGCAAATGTTTTCTTCTTTTTTATTAGTTTCAGGTGTACAATATAATGATTTGACAGTTCTATACATTTCTCAGTGCACATGAAGGTAAGTATACTCTTAATCCACTTTATTCTACCTCCCTCCCTCCCTCCCTCCCTCCCTCCCAGCAATCATGAATTTGTTCTCTGCATTTAAGAGTCAGTTTTATGTTTGTCTCTTTTTCTTTTTTTTCTCATTTGTTTTGTTTCTTAAATTCAACATAGGAGTGAAATATATTTGTCTTTCTCTGACTTAGCATTATACCCTCTAGATCCATCCTCGTTATTGCAAATGGCAATATCTCATCTTTTTTCTATGGGTAATATTCTGTTACACACATTACATCTTTATCCATTCATCTATCGATGGACACTTGGGTTGTTTCCATATCTTGATTGTTGTAAGTAATATTGCAATAAACATGGGATGCATATATTTTCTCGAATTAGTGTTTTCATTTTGGGGGTTTAAATACCTAGTAATGAAATTACTAGGTCAGCTGGTAATTCTGTTTTTAACTTTTTGAGGAACCTCCATACTGTTTTCCACAGTGGCTACACCAGTTTGCATTCCCACCAACAGTACACAAGGGTTCTTTTTTCTCCACATCCCTGCCACCACTTATTATTTCCTATGTTTTTTATTTTAGCCATTGTGGACATATGTTTTCAATTCTCCTGGGCATATACCTAGAAGTGGAATTACTGGGTCACATTATAAGTGTATGTTTAATTTTTTGAGGCACTGCTAAACTATCTTCCAAAGTGGCTGCCATTAGAGTTTCAATTTCTCCACATCCTCAACAACACTAGTTACTGTCTTTTTATTTTTAGCTACGCTAGTATGTGCTGGGGGCTTGATCTGAATTTTCCTAATAACTAATGTTCTTGAGCATTTTTTTCATATGCATATTGGCCATTTGTATATCTTCTTTGGAGAAATATCTATTCAGATCCCTTGCCCATTTTTAATCTTTTTATTCTTTATATGTTCTAGGTTCTAGTATGATTTACAAATATTTCCTGCTAGCCTATGGGTTGTCTTTTTAACCTTTTTGATGATGTCCTTTGATCTACAAAAGTTTTTAATTTTAATGAAGTCCAATTTGTTTATTTTTTCCTTTTGTCACTTATGCTTTTCATGCTGTAACTAAGAAACATTGCCTAACCCAAGATCATGAAGATGTATGCCTATGTTTTCTTCTAAAAATATGTTTCTTAGTTTTGAGCCTTATATTTAGGTGTATAACCCGTTTTTAAATTAATTTTTGCATATGGTGTGTTAAGCCCCATTTTACAGAGGAAAAAGCTAGTCAAAGTAAAGCTAAGCAATTTTCTCCAAAGTGTAATAGCATTCATGGGGCTAAGACAGGATTCGAGTCTAAACAGTCTGACTCTAGGGTCTGCACACTTACCCACAATATTATGCTACTTCTATGTTGGAACTAAGGTTTTCCTCTTTTGTCAAAATAGATGTAAACTGGTAGATTAAGGTTTTTGTTCTTTTAATTATTGGTGGGTAGGCAATGCAATGTGAAACTCATAAGACATCAGTAGTACTTTAAAAGGGATCACCAGTTTTCTGCTTTATGCAAAGAAATGCTGCAAAGACATAAAAACTTTAAAAAGCAAAGCCAATGTCTACCTGCCATAAACATGCAATTTCCACATAGGAAATGGTTTACTGCTTTGATAATTAATCATTCTTTTTGGTAGTTGAAATCAGAAGAGAAAAGTTCACCAAATGTTTCCTTTCATCAATACACTAGATCCATGTTCACTGACTTTATTACCCTATATTGTTTCCTAAAAATAATCCCCTCTATGTTATGTCACATTCTGTGAAAACTGATTCTTCAAAAGGCGACCATCTTAAAACTCAATAAAGTCTAATTAATTATTAATTATTATTAATAATAATATTAATATAATATTAATATTATTTATTATTATTATTTATTATTCCAGCTAGTTTGTAGCCACAGAAATTTTACCAAATGATATGTAAAGATACCAATTCTCATGAAAACCCTATAATGTAGCATTTCATATGAAGGTCCAGAGAAATTTGAAAAGTTAATAATTTTGGAAATGTTAAGTAACATCAACAAAGATTAAGACTTTGGTCTAGCAAGAACTATCTCAGTTTTCTTAATATCCAATGTAATATTCTACCCATCATGTATCACTAACTTCATTTAGCACAGCAATCATTAATGATTATAATAAAGTAAAATTCTGTTATCCCCTGTGTGAATGAATGGCATTATATAGAGTGATTTCATAGCAGTTTATTAAATAGAACTTTCAATTCTATCTGCTCTGCCAGTGACAGGTTTTTAAAAAAAAACAACAACTAATTAATTTTATCTAGGTAATGGTGGTTAGATATTTCTCTACTCTACTTGCCTGCTACTTTATTATATATACAATTTAACACATATTTTGTTTCAAAAGAAAGACAAGTATTGGTTAAATCAAGAGCAATTTGCCTGTCTGCACTTTCTTGCTGACTTAAAGCTTGATTTTGTGTTGTATGCTTCTGTTAATGAAACTGTCTATTTAAAATTACTATTAAAGTCTGTAACATTAACATAATGGATACATTCTCTTACAATCTCAAGAGAGGGGATTTTTTAAAATGTTGACTGGAGGCCTTGTAATAGATGCCATTCAGAGAGTTGTTTTATTTTTTAAATTTCTAAAGGGAACACTTCATGCTTCTGATGAGCTCTGTTATCTAAACCAATCTGTACAACTTTGTTAACACGAAGGGGTCATTTGAATTCAGAAAAGGTGGAAACTTTAGGCTTTGTATTTTTTTCCCCAATGGCACAAATAAGTTTCTGAAAGCAAGAGAACCACAAATTCTGACAACACCACTGGCAACATATAATTAACTGGGTGACCAAGTGAAGACAACTCCCCAGAAAGCTTTGCCCTGAACATTTTACCATTTCATCCACCCATGACTGAGAAGCATATAAATTTCTATACTACTATTTGATTTCTCAGAACAGGACCGAAGGACACGCTCTCTCAAAAGCCATATGAGCTCTTTGTAGGATCACTGTTATCCCGGGACACTAATATAAGCCCAAATATAAGCTCATGAATAAATTTATTCTTCAAACTATCATTATACTTTGAATACGTTTGCTCAAAAAAGTCAAGTCCATTTGCCACTTCAAATATAGCTAAGAGAAATAAAAATTAAATATAATAAGTATCAAAAAGCTTTCAAAATATGAAAAAATTAACAATACTTTGGGTACTGGCAGAATAAGTTCTTCTAGAAGGCAAAGAGATAAAAAAGAGAGTTCTTTAAGGCAATAAAATACTCAAACTTCAGGCTAAACAGGGGGAAACATTCTGTAGAAGAAAATGTTATAATAAGATTCTATATTTTTAATCCCTATTTCTCCTGGGAAGAGAGAGCTAAAGAATATAATGTTCATACTCTAGTCTGATTATATTATAGGAAGACTTTTGCTAAATAGAGAAGCAAGTGGAACATGGAAAAACTCTAGTTGCTTGAGAAAAGAAGTCACTTCATAATAAAAGGAAGCTCATAACCAGGGTACCTGGGTTTACCTTTGCTTTGCGAAAGTGGTAGACCACCAGCATGCTAACGAAGTCGAGCAGCATACACAGGGCTTGGAAGGAGATGATAGCAAGTCGCAAATACTTATCCTCCTGGACAAAGCAGGGGCTGTCATCAGCACAGTAGGGGCAGCCCTCCCTGCAGGGTAGGCAGACATGGGCTTCTTCTGACACATCTTTTGCACTTCCTGAAAGTTCCAAATAAAACCACAGTGTCATTGCACCTCTAAGATAGGTGAGTACACAAAACACATCCTCACCTCTTTGTTCCTTATCCCTCTTACTAAAGACCTTTTATCAACCTTCTTGCTAGGGGAGAGTTACTTTGTTTTTAGACTTAAATAAAATTCTTTTTATCCTTTCGATTAAAAAAAAAGGGACTCAAGGTAATTGAAAAACATTAGCAAAAATGGAAACAAAACTCCTTAAAGGCAAAGATCAGTTTTCCAATTCTGTCATATCATTATCTACCAATCCCCAAATGATATTTCCTATGGCAAAAATCATATTCATAAATATTTGCTAAAGAATTAACCAGAAGGAAGAATAGGAAAGTCGTCTCTTTTCTGTACCAAGTAATACACAACATTTTTGGAACGTCTTGACCTAGATGGCACAGAATCTAAAATGAGGCTTTGATTGCTCCTTAATTCAGCGGGGAGCTCATCTACTAAGTTCATTAGGTCTAAATTGGATAAAATGGTACTTAACTGGCAGTTGTTCAGTGTGCAATTGCCTAATGATGGTGCATCCTTTGCCCAGAGTATAAGCCATACTTACAGGCTATCATGTAATTTCCCACTTTGCCTACTCATAAGACATTTCCTCACTACTAACTAACTGCTGCTACTAATCAGCCCTTTACTTTTAGATTCTTCTCTCTCAGTTGTCAAACTTAACTTAGCTCTGAAGCTCAATAGGAGAAGATTTTCTTTGAGTTTAACACTGGGAAATATCCAATTAAAAACATATACTAAAAAAAAACCAAACCAACAACAAAAAAAACTATTTCCAACTCTGAACTCAATATGAAAGACATTAGTGAATATATACTTGAATTAGTATGTAACACAACCACCCTGTTCAATATATAATACAACCTTGACTGACTGAGGAATCTGGCAAAGAGGTTGCTCTGGTTAACAGCATTTTAATAACACAAAGTTTAACAGAAAATCTTTATCACTTTCAATTCTTGTTGACGGTTCATAATCTTTCTAACTGTATTTGTCTGCTCTTCTTCCTTAATAAATATAAGAACAAAAGCATAATTGAGTATTTCTTTGATGATTCAGGATATCATGCTGTTCAAAAGTCACTATTCGTTACATAGTGAAAAGTGCACAAGTTTTCGTATCCAGCAGATATGGTTCCCATTCCTAGATAGCTCTGAGATATTAAGCAACTCAGTTGACTACTTTGGGTCTTAGTTTATGTATGTTTGAAATATGAATTATTGTTGTATTGAGTTAACACGTATAAATCAGAGTGCCTGGTTTTCTCTTCTCCAAATACTGAAGATGCAAAAAGGGAATTGAAATCCACCAGTGCTTTAAAAAGAAAAGTATTACTGTTCAAAAACAAGACAGAAGAAAGAGCTGAGGTAAGGAGGAAGTGAGTGGGAATGATAAACTCCATTTTAGAGAAGATAACTTCGAGGTCCAACTCATTGTCCAGCAGTAATATACAATGAGAAATGAGCAATAATACAAGACTGGGGTTTGGGAGATGGGTCAGTCAGAGAAAGAACCTACAGAGAGCTCAGGGAACGGATAAGGCAATGATTGGGGAATACAAAGAGTAAGAAGCTAAACAGGTAGGAATTTTTACAATGTCATAATAGAAAACAGATTTACTGGAACATGCTGACATGTGATCAAAGATGATGACTGAGGAAAGGCTATGAGGTATGATGATTGTTTTATCTGTCACTGACTATTAAGACAGTGGTTTCCAAGAAGTGACAGATATTATAACTAGTTTGTCAGAGCTTAGGGAATAAATATGAGAAAAAATAGAGTATTATTTCAATAAATCTTGCATTGAATGAAACTAATGACAGAGTATATGTTAATTAGTTGAATTTAAATAAAATTAATTTTTAAAATGATTTTTTTTTTAAATTTTATTTATTTATTTGACAGAGATCACAAGAAGACAGAGAAGCAGGGAGAGAGAGAGGGGGGAAGCAGGCTCCCCGCTGAGCAGGGAGCCCAATGCGGGGCTCGATCCCAGGACCCTGAGATCATGACCTGAGCTGAAGGCAGAGGCTTAACCCACTGAGCCACCCAGATGCCCCAAAAAGATTTTTAAAATAAATTTTTATAAAGGGGAAAAATCAGTTGAAAACTGTTTTGAAATATAGACAAAAGACAATGTGGCAGCCAATCTTGTAAAGTCTTACACTTTTCAACAACTCAGCTTGAGAATGAGGAAGGCCAGTTTTGAGGATGAAGACATGAAAGATTAAAGTGGCAACAGTACCCAAGATGACTCGTTGGGATCACTCGGCAGAAAAAGAACCCATTTAGTGTAAGATGGTATGATTTACTGGAACACCTATCCAAAATGGCTTTTTTCCCTTATTTTCTACAATTATCAGTATAGAAGCAAATGAGGAGGATAGAGCAGTCGAGGATAGAGAGTAAAGGACTGTGACGGTGGCATTACATCACAGGGAGGGAGGAAAAGCCAGTTCAAGGCTGTAATGGGGCTGCAGCCCTCACTCCTTCAGGGTAGCCAGGGCTCAATCCTCCAGAGCCCTCCTGAGTCTGAGCTAGTCTGAGGGACTAAAGAGGAAAACATTTCTTCACCATCGACCTTATTCATTGATCAAAGGTAGCCTCCAGGGTCATTCACTCCCATACACTTTTTGGTTAGGCACTCATGCATTTGGAGCTGATTCCTGCATCTTGCGCCATGACTGTAGCGGTGCCCCACAGGAGAAAAGAAATTGAAAAGTGTGGTATGAGGTTCCAGTCTGAGGCAAAGCATAATATACCTGTTTTTATGCAAAGCTTTCAGGCAATAGAACAATGACTGGATAAGACATCAAGCCAAGTGGCATTAGAAGGGATTAAAAACAAGTATCTAATATGGACAAAAACTGGCATATACATCAAGAGCTACAAAATATGAAAGTCTAGGATACATAGAAAGCAGTAACTGAATTAACCGAGTACTAAATGGATATTCATGTAAGTGAAGTGAGAAGGGGTCACTGCCCTGAATAAGATAAAGTTGCCAAGAATTCAGATGCACTAATGTTGGTGACGAAAATGTCAAGAAGTCTATGAACAAATTTGGAAGACAGAGGTCAGGATTTCCCTTTCTGGCCAAAATGGAAGAATATGGGTTAGAATTTACCTTCCTATCAGAAACAATGAAAAGAATAAACAAAACATTAAAATTATGGTTTTACAGACTGGACATCTGGTAAGAAAGGACAGTAATTCCTAACAAGTGCAAACAATCCTCAATATACCAAGCTACTATAAACAGAATCACAACAAAAGTTAAGTTAGTAAAGAAAAAGTATCTATGGAAAGTCTTTGTTTTGTGAAATAATCCTTCTTAAGCCAATCTTTGCTTTCTTGGTTCGGCTAAATAGGCAGATATATTCTCATTGGTTTAAGAAGCTCCTAGGTGCCTATAAGCCAAGCAGTACATAGTATTTACTTTCAATACAAATTAAACTTGAAACTTCACTCATACCTAATGGTATAATTCTCTTAGACAGTATGAGCTATTTAGTATTTTGAATCACTCACGCCTGAGAAGTACAATTGAACATGGGTTTGAAACACATGGTCCACTTATACATGGATTTTTTTTTTCAATAAATATACTGAGAAATTTTTGGAGAATTTTGACAACTGGGAAAAACTAGCAGATAAACTGTGTAGCCTAGAAATATTGAAAAATTAAAAGAAAAAGTTGGATATGTCATGAATGCCTAAAACATATGTAGCTACCAGTCTATTTTAACTTTTATTATCATAAAACATATACAAATCTATTATAAAAACAACATTTATAAAAATGTAAACATACTTACAGACCACACATGGCACCATTCTACAGTTGAGAGAAACGTAAACAACTGTATAGATGTAGTATTAAATCATGACTGCTTCAAATTAAATGTAGTAATACTGTACTACTCCAGTAACTATGTAGCCATCTCCTGTTGGCTACATTGCCAGTATCTGCCTGAAGCCCACCTGATGCTAATCATCTCTGCAGGAGCATTTTGTCATTCCAGTAAATTTCACACTCATAAAAAGTGATCCTTCAGGATTCTCATGTATTCATGTGTATGTGTTTAGGACAATTCTGTAAACCTTGAATAACACCATGGGACCCATGCAGAGTACCACTAGTGATGCTGGAAGGGCTTCCGGGAAGCAGAGAAAAGTCATGACATCGCAAGAAAGAGGTGAATTGCTTGATATGTACTAGAAATTGAGGTCTGCAGCTGCAGTTGCCTGCCATTTCAACATAAAAGAATCCAGTGTAAGGACCACTGTAAGAAAAGAAAAAAAAGAAAAGAAAAGAAAATATTTTTATCTCATATTGAAAATGCAGCTTTTATGTGAGTGCAGGATTACTATAAGGAAAACATACCTATGGACTCTAATATGATTTGGAAAAAAAGTGAATTCATTATATGAAAACTTAAAGATAAAGGAAGGTGAAGGATCTAAATGCTGGAGAATTTAATGCCAGCAAAGGATGGTTTGATAATTTTAGAGAGACATTTGGCTTAAAAAATGTCAAGATAACAGGAGAAGCAGTGTTTGCCAACCAAGAGGCAGCAGATGAGTTCTTGGATGCCTTTAAGAAAACCATTTTCTGGGTTGGTTCCATCAATGCTGTGTTCTTGAAGTCAGGAAGTACTTCTCCAGTAAGGTACTGCCTATTAAAGTTCTTTTGATAACAGACAATGCCCCTGGCCAGCCAGGACCCCATGAATTCAACACTGAAGGCATGAAAAAAGTTCAGCTTGCCCCTAAACAAGATGTCTCTAATTCAGCCTCTAGATCAGGATGTCATAAGGACCTTTGAGGCTCATTACATGGCGTTCTATGAAAATGACTGTCATGGCTGTGAAAGAAAACCACAATGGAATATTACTCAGCCATGAGAAAGGATGAATACTTACCATTTACATCGACATGGATGAAAC